TTTTCATGTAACTTTCTTTCTAGTTTCATTGCATGGTAAGACATTCCCAAACTATCTTTTATAGCTTTGCAGGTTTTACCATTCTTGGACATCCTTCTGAATTCCAATCAGTCCTTAAACTCATATAGTTTTGATATTCCATTTTTTTCTGATTATGAATATCAAAAAATTAGGCAGAAATTAACCACTATGATTCAATTCTCCTTACCTCATCTCCTCAAGAATTATTTTTCACTTTTTAAATCACCTCTACCACTTCTTAGCCACTGTATTATCTTATTCTTTCTCCATTCAGCAGCCTGGTGTAGACCCTCAACCCCCACTTCAAAGAAAAGACAAAGAAAATCCTCATACATGTTTTCATACATCCTCTATTCTGCAGCTTAAAATCAGTTTTTTGGGCCATTCTTCTTATGATTTCAACTTGTCTTTGTCTCCAACTGTGTCATTTCTCACTTACCAATAATGGATAACAAGCTAGTTACCTGATTGCTACTTGGTTTGAATCTTTTATGAAAAGCTCATCAGAGACAGCTGCCTTTTTGGAAGCCTTTAATTTCTATTTTGACTGACTCCAGTACCGGCAATACCTATGTCAATGATATTTGAGGTCACCACCGTTTTATTCTCTCTATACAGATAAATCTCGGGGGCCCAATCACTCATTTCTTGGCTCTCATAGTTGTAATCCTGTCCTGTTCCCTAGGCAATTCCAGGAACATACTCTTCTTAGGTGTCTGTGTTTCTCTGCATTTCACAATGATGCTAACACCCCCTACCAACCCATCTGGGCCAGCAGTCTTTTAAACCATAGCAGTGTGATTTTTCACTAATAACAATAAGAACTACACTATTTTTGAATACTCTTAAACTCATTCAATATTTATCATAATGCCAATTAAGAAAAACTCCCTACAGAGATTACTTATTAAACATGCAAATAATATATACATATGTAAGTAAATGCAATAATGATACCTGTTGAAACTGTCTCAGGAATCAGGGGAGAGTGGATGAAAGAGAGCAGTGGAGGGGGTGAATTCAAGTATGATATATTTGATACATTGTAAGGACTTTTGCAAATATTCCAATATACCCCCACCAAGCACAACAGTAATAAAAAATGATTAAATATGATTTATGATCTTGGAAATTTCAAATCATGTATGTAGATAAAGCCAAACACTAATTGTTAAGAATATAAATGGTATTTAGAAAATGTTAGCCAAATTGCACCAAAATTATGTTTTGGTGCGCTACCTTCAGGCTCTATGGACAATCATCATGAAAAATAAACAAACAAACAAACATATTATTACAGCCATTGTTCTTGAGATCACAAATACCTTTTTTTTAAGGATCTCCAATAAATTCCAATCTGGTCCTTCTGCCAAGAACATGTTTACTTCTCTTGCTTTTATTTCATGGTCATTGCGAGTAATGGAAAAGCAATCAACTTTCCTTAGGAAAATCAAAGTCAAATATTTGCCTCACTCATTTCTGAATTGCAGGGCAGGATGGCTGCATTTTAACCTTACTCTGAGTTTGATTGTGTACCTTGTGTGTTGTTTTTCTACTAACTTTCACAGTGTGTTGCATGTATCGTTAGAAGCCACTTGGAATTCCTTCTGGAAAAGATGGAGGCATACTGAATTTTTAAAAAAAATGTTCTTAGTTTCTAGTGTCTTTGCCTTTCTCTTAATGGTGCTAAAGAACATCAATAAAGAACACCAATAAAAACACTGGCAAAGGCAAGCAGAATCACTTTGCTTTTGAATAGAAATTTGAACTCATGGTTAACATTTTCTTGGGCTAAGTGTGATGAGGATATCAAACTTGAAATGGGAAAGACAGAGCACATCCCTGGGAGTCTTCTTTGGATATATTTCCCTTCTTCATACTTGACTAAAGCAGAGGTTATATTAACTGAGAGGGTTCAGACATAAAGTATGTTTAGTCCAAGCAACATCATGAATCAAAGCATGACTTTGAGTAGGACTCATCCATAGGAAAATAAAGTTTTGGATAATTAAACTAGTCTCCTAATGCAAGACAGAGTAGTTGAGACAAAAACAACTAAATGTCCCTCTTCTATTTGGGTCTTGGAAGGCAATGAGCATCCCCACATCTGATGTGACATCCTTAGAACCAAGAGGAAGTTGGGTTTTTTTTCTGTTGGAGTAGAAAGGTCAGAACAGAAGGCACAAACTCAGTTCAAAATTTGTGAATTCAATGCCTGGCGTTATGTCCATCCTGTTAGGATAATACCTTGAGAAGCAAAACCTTTTCTTTTGTTTTTCCCATGCAGCCTACCCACGACCTGGAGGAATATCCAATGTCTTGTCCACATCTGTTTGAAGAAAGATGTACTAAACAGTGTCAAGCTGCATTGTTTCTTTTCTGTTGAATATTTCCAGTATTTAAAGTGTGTTGCTTCAGTGAGCCATAGGTTGTGCAAGGGGGAGCAAAAATAAGCTGTAATCATTGCAGTTACTCCATGGAAGTTACTCTGCCTGTATGCTATGGTTTGAATGTGCCCTCCAAAGTTCATGTGCTGAAATTGAGGGCCCAGTAAAATAGTGTTAAAAGGTGGGACCTTAAGAGGTAATTACATCTTCAGGGCTCTGCCAGCATGAACAGATTAGTGCTGTTGCCATGAGAGTGGGTTAGTTACCATGGGAGGTTAGTTATCATGGAGAGTGGTAATGGGCTAGTTACCATGGAAGTGGATTAGTTATCACAGACCAGGATCCTGATCTAAGGATGAGATTTTCCTCCTCTTCTTTTCTTTCTCATATAATCTCTTGTCCTTCTGCCTTCTGTCATCAGATGATACAGCCAGAAGTTTCTCAACAGATGCTGCATCCTCAACTTTGGAATTCCTAGCTTCTAAAACTATGAGAAATGCATTTCTTTTCTTTAAAAACTTCCTAATGTCTGGTGTTCTCACATGACAGTGGAAAATGACAATAACTAACTCAGGTACCTCCTAGAAATAGAAAGAAAGTTCCTAAAGTCTACTAAGCACATAAAATGACCAAAGTCTATTCTTGTACAGTGAAAAGGGAGGATCCAAGACCAGACAGATATGGTTCAAATGCTAGTCTTACCACATCCTAACTTTGTGACTTTAGCTAAGTTAACTTAACTCTCCTTCTCTTCAACATCATCATTTTTTAAATGGGAGCAGTGGTAGTACGTACCTCACTGGATTTACCTAGAGGTGAAAATGTATATAAAGGTGTGACAGTTTCATAAGTGTACCATGGAACAACACCTGGCACATACTAAGCATGTAATAAGAATTTGTTGCTGTAATGTTGGGAAGCAGTTTTTAATTCTAGTTCACAAATGAGTAACTGAGGCTCTGAAAGTTGCCACTCACTTGTTATGATGGACATTAATACTTTACTTGACTAACAGTGATATCATTGTCCCTATGTCCTTATTATTCGAAACCCTAAGTACTAGAAATTTCTTTCTACTTCTGAAGGGCTGCCATTCATGTGCTGAATTGTGTTTTCTTTTGACCCTTAAGCACCAATAGGTGTAAGCTGCTAGAAACCAACTTTAAGAATAAAGGGAGCTAGGGAAGTTAGTATTTGTAAAAACCAGTTCTTCTCAGTGGTGACACTTGGTTTCTGGTGTTCATATATAAAGTCATCTAGAAGAAGTGATAGAGAAGAATGGAAGAACAGATCCCCCCAAAATGTCACAAAATACAAGAAGGCAGAAGGTAAATGTTGGGGTGAGGTACAGAGCTGAATAGGGCTAGAAAGCCCACAGACATAAGAGTAAATGGTGAGGGCTGTGTGACTCTACAAAAGTTATTTAATGTCTTTTAATGTTTTTTTTTTTTCATTTTTCTTTTATTATTCATATGTGCATACAAGGCTTGGTTTATTTCTCCCCCCTGCCCCCACCCCCTCCCTTACCACC